GCCCCAACAATAACAAAATAACTATAACAACAAAAACAAACGCAGAGAGGAATTTCAGGTGACATCTCACCCGGCAAGGAAACGGTGACCACACCCTAGAGTTCTGCACCCCAGAGCTCTGCACAGGGGCGGTGAGGCGTGTGACCCGCTTGGGTGTCACATGGGTTGGCCTGGCAATCCTCCCCGACCTCCCCCCCCACCTCCCCGGGGAACCAGAGATTGGGACAGGAAGGGAAGGTCATAGGCACCGGAAGGCTGAAGGTGCAAGCCTGAAGCAAATACGCAGGGAAGCTGGCCTGCAGACGAGCCTTCCAAGTGGCCTTTGCCCCCAGGGCCTCCAGAGGGAGGCCAGAACCAAGGAAGGCTTTCATTCCCGAAGGCTTGGAGTCCCTCTTGCTGGAGGCTCACCAAAGCTCTAGCCAGTGTCTTCCAGCCCCATGATGGCCCTTCCTCCTCCCCCCTGCACGAGTAACCCCACTCCCCTCCGCCCGCAGTACTTTGACTGGGTCACTATTCCTTGGTCCTTTCCCGAATGGATGGCGAGCTGGGGTCCTGAGTTATGGCTCACACCGGCCCTTCTCTCTGGCTTCTACTATTTTACAATGTGTCCAATCTACAAGTATTAGGACGCCTTCCTCTGACCCTCAGTGGATCTTTATCTTCCTGGAGGGTAAATAAATCATGCCGGAGACATCGCACTGAACAAATTCAATTTGTCTTCATGAAAAATAGCCCTTGGAAAATGGGCAGCACTGTGTGCTGATGAGGAGCAAGGACTCGAGAGCCGGACTTCTGGCGAAAGCCAATCTCAGCTCCCCGCTCAACTGTGTGACCTTGGAAAGCCAGTGCGCTTCTCAGGGCCTCTGCCTTATCCTCGAAACGCAGATCCCACGGGCACCTGCCTCCCGGGGCTACGGGACAAAGATAAAGCAAGTTCTGGGCAAATGTCTATTCAACAAATCAACACTCGTGTCTTACATGATCACAGACAAGCATGATTTTGATTTTATCGTTCTAGTCAATGCAGACAGATAAGGGAGTCAGGAGACTGATGTCATACATTTACAGGTAATTTGCGGACGTACTATGCACCAAGCACTGATAGTGTAAGTGCTTAACATCCACCAGCCCATGTGACTGGTGGGCAAAAAGGTAATTTGGAATTAAGACACACACAGAACCCCTACTGCATGCCAGGCACAGGGCTGAGACTACGAGCGTCATCATCCTTGCGCTAGAGAAGTTCCCAGGCAGCTGCAGCACCAAAGCTGGGCCACCTCCTGCTCTCCCTCCTCTTAGTCATCCACAAAACGGGAGGAAGGGTCCGAGGGAATGACTCCCCACATTTCTATTTTGTACTCAGGGCCTGGAAGCTGCCCCAGAGCTCTTTTTGCTCAAGGCTCACACTCTACCACTTTGAGCCACAGTGCCACTTCAGGTTCTCTGGTGATTCACTGGAGGTAAGAGTCTCACAGACTTTTGGACCATGGTTTTGAACTGTGATCTTCAGATCTCAGCCTCCTGAATAGCTAGGATTACAGGTGTGAGCCACACATGCCTATTGTTTTACAGTTGTCATGCACTTTGACCAGCAGAGGACACAGCAATGCTAGCTTTCTCATGCAGCACAGATTTGAGAAACTAAGGTAGGTTGCTGTTCAAAATATAAGCAAAGCACACATATTCTCTCTTCCATGGAGGGGAATGAGCCATTTTCATTTCCCATTAACCACTAAAAAAGCTCAAAGTGGAGCTGTGGCTCAAGAGGTAGAGCGCTAGCTTTGAGCACAACACATCAGGGGCAGTGCCCAGGCCCCGAGCTCAAGCCTCAGGACTGGTGCCTTTCTGCCAAGTCTTATGATTTACCTCTGAAACAAGGAATACTTCCTAATGCTTGTCCATCCACACAGCTAGTTTGGATGGGCTCTAATAGCCTGTGGTCTTGGGGAAGGTGGCACTGAATTCAAGTGTGATCACAAAGTCAAATTCCAAATATTTAATGCTGGGTGTATTTCCAAGTCCCCCCAAAACATCTTCAGACATTTCCTCTCTAGGCTCACTAGATTAGAGGGCATCAGCTAGAATACACACACACACACAGACACAGACACACAGACAGACACAGACACACACACACACACACACACACACACACTTTTAAAACCCGCAATACAGGGAAGTGGCGGTACATGAACTACGATGTAGTGAGGGATGACCGTATACACTCTTCTAGATCCCCGCTCTCTACATAGTCCAAGTTTCCAGCATCAGCGTAAAACGCTGACCTGCTGCCGCCATGATTTCCTCCACCTTCCCAGCTCAGGGTCTCCAGCAGAACACGGGTTTAAACCCTCAGGCTTTTTTATTTCCTTGCAAAGATCTTCATGGTAAGTTAGTATTTGCGAAGTAGGAATATAATTCTGAGAGAATATGTCTTGTGCTGTGATGGATGGGAAAATATGCTTTTAACTTGCAGGGCAAGACCAATTTCCTCAAGCTGCAGTTTTAGTGGTGCGAAGGTGTTGGTGTGCTAAAGCACCAATTATGGCTAATCAGGATGGGATTCTCACCCCCGTTTAGTACTCAGTTTGGTAAAGTCTGACTCCCCACTTGGGCAATCAGTTTACTACATGATGGGGAATAGTTGATTTCATACAGGTTATTATCTTAATACCACACTGTTCACTCAAGCTCACACATGTACACAGTGAAGGGGCATTCCAAATATGTATGTTCTTCTCACTTTTCCTTTTTTTGTTCTGGCACCCAGACTTGAACAGGGCCTGGGAGCTATCCCTTAGCTTTTCACTCAAGGCTAGTGCTCTACTACTTTATCCACACCTCCACTTCCAGCCTTCTGCTGGCTAGCTGGAAATAAGAATCTCAGATACTTTCCTGCCTGAGCTGGCTTTTGAACCATGATCCTCAGGTCTCAGAACCCTGAGCAGCTAGGATTACAGGTGTGAACCACCAGCGTTCTGCTTCTAACATGTAAGTTTTGAAAGTTCTAACTAAGAACATCACAGAACAGGCCGGTTCCTCTCTGGTCATGGTGTGCCCTGTGACTTGGGAGGAAGGATCTTTAGCCCACACTTTGCTCCACCCCGTTGCGTCCTCACCAGCAAGTTTTCTTGACTGACAATCCGATCACGCCTCTCTTCCCTTACCAAATACTTACTTCTAACTATAAAGGTTGTCCAAGTTCAGAACTGGTCTAATTGAGTCTAAATCAGAAAGAGACGCTCATGTGCTCCAACCCTGTTGACTGACTGTTTGCCTTGGCCTTCCCATGGCTCTGTGGAAGCTGACGGACACCATTTTCCAGAGTTGATGCTCCAATGCAGAAGCTTCTCTCTGTACGTGTGTGTGTATGTGTGTGTGTGTCTGTGTGTGGTGTATGTGTGTGTGTGTACATTTTAAATCATTCCTCTTTTTACCCCCAAGACAGAACTCTGTAGCATTAGGTGACTTTTGATGACATCGCTTCCTAGCTTTAATGCAAGTATTACAACGTGAGCCACTCCCATGCCCGAAGCACTATTTCTAACTTCGGTTTAGAGACTTCATTGAACTCAGGCATCAGGACACCCTACTCTGAGAGAGAGGCCATCATCACACACGTACAAAACATGCAGCTCCCTTTTTCTCTTAAAAGTTCAGCACAGCTGGGAAATACATGCGAGGCTTCCGGCCTGCAGGGGTCACAGGAGCGGCATAAACAAAAGCTACAGGAGCACGGAAGAGGGCCTTCTCCCCAAAGATGGAGAAAGGGAGTCACAGGACTTACTGTTCAAGCAAAGGTGACAAAATAGGACCAGCCACAGCTCAACAGCAGAAAAACAAACCTTATACAACTATGCACGATCCTACCAGGGATTTGTACACAAACTCTCATGTTTCATTCTGTTAGGGCCCTATTTCTTTATATACATAGGAGTTTTTATTGGCCATCTAAATATAAACTTTGGACAACAGGACAAGAAATGACTCTTCGGGGCAGCGGATTCTGCCCACTATCTCTTCATTAGTAAAGTTGTATTACTTAGCTCGACTGAAATCACTAAGGAAAGAACCTCAGGGGAAAAATACCTCTAGTTGTATTGCTAGGGTTTTTAATATGAACTCCAACAAGGACATGTCCAGTCGGGACAGCAAGCATTTTTTTTCCTTCCAAAAATGTATCTACACAAATCCCCACAAAATGAAACACAGCTAGATTTTGGTCATTTCCATTTCACCTATGCAGTAGCAAGAAACATTTTCCTCCCTAAAGTCAGAGAATCACAGCAATGGACAGGCAGGCGTACTAGACAGCTGAAATTCTGAGAACATGCTCACAGCCTAAGTTCACTCAGGTTGGTCAGCTCTGGCATCGTGAAACCTTTTATACTTGCTACAAAAACTGGTAAAAAAATTTTAACTTAATTTATTCCATTTCTTTATGTATCCTTTATTCAAATGACTGGAAATGACAAGACACCAAAAAACACATTATCTAAAGAAAGGAAATCATTCAAAACAGCTCAAATGACAAAGTGCCTCTGAGTTGGGTCTTCAGCCTCAAAAACAGTGAGATTAACCAGAGGAGGGTGGCTCATGCCTGTAATCTAGCTACTCCTGAGGCTGAGATCTGAAGCCCACAGTTCAAAGCCAGCCTGGGCAGGGAAGTCTGTGAGACTCTTATCTCCAAGTAATGATAAGAAAATGGGAAGTGGTTCAAAGTGGTAGAGCGTTAGCCTTGAGCTGAAGAGCTCAGGGACAGTGCCCAGGCCGAGTTCAAGCCCCGAGACCAACTGACCAAAAACAACCAACCAACCAACCAAAGACCCATTCAGGAACTTGATCAGCTGGACAGAAATCCTTTGGGATCCGAACACCTCACAGCTTGTGGAACCCCACTATTGGGCCTTATCAACATTCCTTCACGGTCTGGTCTTGCCTTGCGCTTGCCCTTCCCTCCAGCAGGAAGGAAACACGGCGGCGGTGCTGGTGTTACTTACAATTGTGAAGTTCATGACTTTGAGAATCCAGATGGTCATGGCCAAGTTCACCAGGATTAAAATCATGAGGAGCAGGACAAAGAAGTACAGGCATCTTTTCCGCCAGCCGTAAATCCCCACTTTGTACACCTGCGGCCCCTCGGCACTGGCCATAGCACTCCGGTGGTGTGGGTACTGTTCCTGAGGCATCTGGAAGGAACGAGTGGAGAGGGAAGCCCATGAAACTGCTGGGAAACAAAGGATGAAGAGAGAGAGAGGGAAAAAAGCAATGCAAAAACTCGAGTGCTAAAGAGAGGGGGCTGCCTGCCACCTCAAGTTCTCACCTTGCTGGCTGCTGTAAAACTCTGTTATGGGGGGTCACCAGGGACCCCTCCCAAGTCTGCCCTAGCTCTTCACTTGATAGGTTGGGACATCCACACCTCCAGGAAGAAAAGGGACTCCCCCCAAACCAGGAAGCCATTTTTTCAATGTTTTGGGGAATGGGGCGTGCACTTAAGAGGTCTATCGAAGGCCTCGAGGTTAGATTGGGGGGAGGAGTAACCCTTAAACAACATCGATGAAAGGCGGTGTTAAGTAGCGAAGCTCTTCTCTAGTAGTAAACAAGGAGTGAAACTTGCACAACTCTGCCCTGCAATAGATGAGGGGATCCCCCCAAAATGTGAGACCTACACACAGTGGGATTTTACACAGCCATTAGGAAGAATAAGATCGTGTCACTCGCAGGGAAACAAATGGATGAAACGAGAACAAACCATGTTAAGTGAGGCAAGCCAAGTTCAGAGAGACAAACGAAGCTTGTTCTCTGCGATGCACAAACCGGATCTAACATGCAGTGCGGTAAGATAAATTATGCAGGATTCTAGACCCTCACACATGCTGAGACCAAAAGAGGATTTTCTTGGGAGAGAATGACCAAGGCCGAAATCCCTATGTGCTTCTTTATAGTTATATAAAATGGTATATTTAGAGATATATCTTGAGTTCCAAGATATGGAAACCAGAGATTTTTTTTTAGTTCTAATTTTTGATGATTCTTCTTCTTTATGTATGGTTTATTCACATGTGCATCTTTGGGAAGGGAGGAGAGACCACAGAACTCCAGGGAAAAAGTGCAGCAGCAAAGTTCTTCGGACACTGATGAAACTCATGGGTGGAGATGGGAGGGAAAAACTGGGAGGAAAGGGAAGACACTGTAGGAAAGAAAATGTACTTATTACCTAATCCCCTGTACGTCACTTCTCTAACATCAATGAAGTTTTAAATTTTAAAAAGAAATGAAGAAACAATTACGCCAGAGCTAAAAAGGCTTAAATCCAAAAGTATCACCACAGCTCCTTCAGTTTCAGTCTGCTTAGAAACCCTCCCAGCTGACACAATCTGGATCCTATGCACCAAATGCAATTAGGTTTGTCCCAGAAATTCAAGGTGGAAAAAAAAAAGATCTATCCATTGTTTGACTATCAACTAGACTTTCAATCAATTAACAGGGCAGTGTCATAATCGAACCAGCCAGGTTCCAGTGTCAGTAGTTGTTTGATAGAAGAGATGAGCAGCTTCCTAAAGATCTAGTTTTGAGAGACTGAAACCCACGATCTCTGGCCTTCAAGGGTTCCTATCCAGAGTCACATGTGACGTTACAGAATCAAGGGCAAAGTTTATGACTTGGACTTGTTACAAGTTTTGAGGTCCAGTAAGAAAAATAAGTAAATCAGCAAAAAGTGCTAGGGGGTGGCTCAAGTGGTAGAGAATCTGCCTGGCAAATGTCAGGACCTGAGTTTGAGCCCTACCACTCGGTCTTGTCCAAGAGAAACTTGGTTGATATAAATTAGAGAGAAGTGGCATTGCTTTGGTGATACACAGATTAAAATTTCCAGTAAATGGAAAAGTAAACATCATGATTGGTGGCACACACAGAGCAGGCATAAGTTTCCTTCTGGGCTCACTACACTTGCCAGAGTTCACTGGGGAATTAACCATTTTTGGATTAACTTGACACAGAGAGAACCTCCCATTTAGCCAAGTTAATTGTGTGGTTTCTGGCTGAACACTATTTACTTTCAAGGGCTCTATCTATTCAGCCATCCATACAAGTCATCAGTTTTGGATTACAAAGGTCTGGCAAGATTTAGGAAATCGTAACAAGTCATCACTTTTCTTCTTGATTCAAGTAACTAGCATCATTATTTTTTTTTCTTCTGTAAAATTCATCCAGAAGACTAAATTCCTGTTTTGTAGACTAGGAATGGAATTTTCTTTTCTAACAGACTTTCTGGAATTAAGATATTTGCATTTTCTGATTTGGTTTTCTAAAGATTGTAATCTATAAACACTGAGTAACTTTTACTGAAAATCAGACAAGGACATGTAACAAAAAATCACATGAATTTCAGAAAATCTTGTCATACTTTAAACTCCTTCCATTTAGAAACCATTTTACAAACATTAAAAAAAGAATCTGTCAGAGATGGCCACTATTCAGAGAGGCTACATGTAATATACATGTTCTAAGCACGAACACATTTACATTTCCATGTTTACATAGATGAGTATATTTTACAATCCTGGCCTATTTCCTATAGCTAAGGGTCAATCTCATTAAAGTATACAGGAAGTGAATTTTTCAACAAGTAGGCTAGTCAGGAAGTGCATTTTTCAACAGCAAGCCTAGGCAGAAGTGAATTTTTTTTTAACATGTTGGCTATTTAAATTTGTATGTCAACTGACTCTTAAACATGCATGTCAACCGATTCCTAAAAATGAACCCCGATGTTTCTAATCATTTACTGCGATCTACGACTGTTTAATCTAACCCCCAGTTCAAATCCCAGGATTGGCACCCACAATAAAGCAAAGTATGCATAAATGATGACAGACACTTGCGAGACCAGTACAATGTGGCAAATAGACTAAATGTTTTGGTTTTGTGGGGAGCAGTAGGATTTAATGCAGGGCCTGGCACTTGCTAGGCAGCGGCTTTGCCACTTGAGCCACACCTCCAGTCCTTATTGTCAAGGTAACGTACTGGGCTGCCATGGACTCAGATCCACTTCCTTGTGTTGCTGAAGATGACTGGCAGGTGTTACTGCTCCCAGCCACTGGTAGAGATGGAGTCTTCCAAACTCCTTCTTTCAGCTGGGCTTGAACTACAATCTCCCTGCCTCCACCACCCAGGCTTGTCTTAGACTGTCATCCTCCTTCTCCTTCTCAGCCTGCCAAGTAGCTGGAATTACAGGTATATGCTACCATGCCTGGCTTATTTGTTAAGATAGGATCTTGCTAACTTTTGCTCCAGCTAGCCTCAAACCATGATTCCTATTTCTACCTCCTAAGTAGCTGGGGAAACAAGCATGAGCCACCTTACTTGACCCTGTTCTCTCAATTCTTGTGTTAAAATAAACTTAGACTTACGTGAATAATTGGCCAGAAGAGTACATCACTATTAATTAAAACCACAGGTTTGAAAATTATTTTAGCTAGAGTTTTTCCACATGGATATAAACTTTAAGTCAAATTATTGAATAATTGAATGATGACTCTAATTCAGTCAGGGTATGTGTTGCTTTAAATCTAGACAGGGAATACACCATCTTTGATAGCTCCCTGAAACTCATAAACTTTTACAGTAGCATTTAAAAAAAAAGAAAAACTGTTACAGAAAAATCAGAAGCTGCCTTCAGTAGTGATTCAACAGTTCCATAAAATTGGCATCGATTCAGTAGATCTTGCTTGACCATTATCTGGCCACTCTGTTCTGCTATTTACATGGGCTGCGAAAGAAATCTGCGATCTAAAAGAAAATGGCTCACCTTATTTGGGGTCATTTTGTAATTTGCGTACAGTTTCCAGCAGCAAGCATGATTGCCACACTGAAAAGCAGAGGCTGTGAGTTCAGAACACTAATGTCACAGGAGAGAAAAGAAGAAGAAAAAGGAAGGAAGGAAAAAAGAAAAAGCAAGAAAGCCATGTCCAGCCCCATAACCTCAATCAGAGTTAGCTGAACACAATCTATTGAATGACGCAGAAGAAGGGAGCCCAGCCTGATGCCGATTTACTCAGCTCCTCACTCCATTCTGTAGTGGACCTCTTCAACCTCACGAATGACGGCCCCGCAGCAGCAGTAGTATTGCCAAGGTGTGTACAGGAATCTGATTCTATCAGATTTTCCCTGGGAGGAAACGTGGTCTGCCCAAGCAGAGAGAACCTAATCCCTGGTGGTCCAGGGCTTTTTATCAGAGAGCTTAGCTTGTTTTAAGAGGAGCCGGGCTTCGTGGGTTGACAAAGAAGAATAAGAGCCATGGCATCCCAGCCAACTGCACTCCGCTGAACTCCATTACTCCAGCCACCAGCAATCTCACAGGCTTCATTCGCAGAGTGAACCGTGGTGACACACGGTCCTCCCGGAGTCCTGCGGGCCTGCCCGCCAGGTGGTGGAGGGAAGGGGATACCCCCTACTCTGGCTTACATGGCTGCCTTTACAGGAAGCAGGGCATACTAGTTGACAATGGGAATTGGGAACAATGATAAGACCATCACCTTTCTGTGCTGCAGCAAAGGTGAAATCACAGGAGCTGTGAAGGAATTCAGGCCATACAAGACACGAGCCTGGACAATTCAGCTCAATCCTATCCACATATCTATATATCTACCTTGATTTATCTACATATATACCCACCTTTATCTATATGTCTGTGTTTTACCTTTATTTATACCTAACTACATCCATCCATCTTTCATCTATGTATCTATCTACCTATATATCATCTATGTATGCATGTATGTATCTATCTGTATGTATGCATCTATATGTTTGCATCTATCTATCTATCTATCTGTCTGTCTGTCTGTCTGTCTGTCTGTCTGTTTCTCTGCCAAACCCTAGGACAACCAACAATGTGGATTTTAAAAATTTAACAGAAGGGCTGGGAAGGTGGTAGAGTGCTTGTCTTGCATGCCTGAGGCCCTGGGTTCGAATCCTCAGCACCACATAAGCAAAAAGAAAAAAGCCAGAAGTGGTGCTGTGGCTCAAGTGGTAGAGCGCTAGCCTTGAGCTGAAGAGCTGAGGGACAGCGCCCAGGCCCAGAGTTTAGGCCCCACGACCAGACCCAAAAAATAAAAAATAAAAAAAAATAAACATTTAACAGAAAAATAAAGTCATCTTGTCATCAGAATCAAGCATACATATAGCACCGTTTCTCCATCAAAAGATTTTGTTGTCTGTCATGGGGCTTGAACTCTGGGCTTGGCCACTGACCCTCAGCTCTTCAGCTCAAGGGGAGCCCTCTACCACTTGAGCCACAGCGCCACTTCCGGTTTTCTGGTGGTTAATTGGAGATAGGAGTCTCACAGACTTTCTTTCCCCCAGCTGGCTTTGAACTGTGATCCTGAGATCTCAGCCTCCTGAGTAGCTAGGATTACAGGCACAAGCCACCAGCGCCTGGCTCATCAAAAGTTTTATCTCAAGAGTGATGACAGATAGACAGGGCCTGAAGCCAAGCTGCTGTGTGAGGAATGCCCTCCCTCCTCTCCATGGGACCCCTTTTCTACACTCCAGGGGCCTCTCATGTCCATGGGACAAATAAGGGTTAAAAAGAAAGCCTTCAGAGCTGCTCCCTCCCGCTTAGGAAATCTGAGCCCTCAGCGGCTATGCTATTCTTACAAAATGTGCTTTCTGATTAGTTCCAGAAGGCAAGGCCTGGCAGTTTGTCCCTGAGGTCTCCCACTGTTAGGAGGGGCACCATCCGCTGCCCCTTCAGCCCCGCCCTGGTGGGCTTTTCCTGTCTCTAACCCCAGGTCTCACACCCAGCCTGTCCCCCACGAAGGTCTCCTCCCTGTCCAGTCATGGCCAGTCCTCTGTCCTTTCTGCCTCCGCCTCTGCCCCACATTCCTCCTCCTCTTCCCTCTTCTACTTCTTCTCCATTTCTCCTTGTACATGGGAGTCTGCTCTGCTTTACTTCGCCAAGTTAACTCCAGAGTTTACTTGCAAGTTTTTGGCACTGTTCTTCCCGATCTTGAAACCTGGGGTTGCTATTTTATGCCTCTCCCTGAGTGCTTGACACGCACTAAATTTAGAGCCTGTGATATTTGAGCTCCCCGAAGCCTCCCATCGCACGGCTGTGGGCTGGGCTTGTGTCAGCTGGGAATCTGCGGTGGCATTCGGGACAAACAGCCTGTCCGGACTGCTAACTGCAGTTCCCCCAACCCTTCCTATCCCACCGGGCGACAAGGCTAATAAAGAACACATTCCTGAGCTCACCCTAGATTAAGGAACCCCGAAGACCCTCCTGCAGGTACAAAGCTGCAGAACATAAAACCAAATGGCCAGCTGACCATCGGGACCCTCTGCCCACTCGTGCCCCACCCACTCTACGTCATGTGGGTAGGAGTCTCTCCTGAACTTCACAAGCTCCCAGGAACTCAGGATTTCAGAAAGGGAACTTGCAGTCACAAGTGTTTTCATGAGAACCAGCCAGTAGGGTCTAGTTGCTCTTAGCTATCCACGCTTTCATTCCTCTCTCTGACAGGCTGTTGGCCAAGCCCCTTTTAAAAAACACCCCCTTTTCTACTAGCCATTCAGCTGCTCATAAATTCCAGTAATGGAATTTATCTGAGCTGAACCAGCCCCCAAAATGTAATGCTATTGCATTACATGTCTATTAAAAACCAAACAGAATAAAAAGATAATGCAGTCTTCCTATAAGGAAAAAAAAAAAGAAAAACAGAAACAAACCTACGTTGTAATATTACCGACCCCCCCCCCACAAAAATGAGTACGAGAGAACCCAAGCTGAACCATAACAAGAAAGGGGGAAAAAACTTGTGGCAAATTAGTTAATATCTGTTTTTCCTTCTGCAAGCACTATTTCCAGGTAGGTATAAAATAAAACCAACCGATCAATACAATAACGTCTAAGCCATTACATCTCCACCTTTAACAATAACTTTGGAAAAACAAACTAGTGTTTCCTGTTGCAGTTTTCTTTTCTTTTTTAAAATAGAAAAGCTTTTTTGTTGTTGTTTTTAAAGTGAAAACTATAGGCAGACTCCTTCCACTGAGAATCACTAACAGCAATGACACAAACACAATTACAACCCAGCATATATTTCAAGCCATATTACCACCGCCAGTCAAATCTCATATAATGAAAGTCAAAATCCTGCAGGAAAGTAAAGCTTGCCAGGAACTCCTACACACAGACTCTAACTCAGATTCCCTCTGTTGCTCTGTTTCTCTCTCTCTCTCTCCTCCTTCTCCTCCTCTTCCTCCATGGCAAGTATTTTCCAAAATAGAAATTTCAAAGTCTGGTTCCCTCCAAAAAAACAAGAGCCATTTTCTTTTCCAAATGCCCATCTTCCAGCTCCCCGTGAAGGAAAGCGTAAAGACAATTTCATTTCAGATTATCTTCCCTGCCCGGAAGAAAGGAAAAGTTACAGATGGGGCTGGGGGGGGGGAGGGAGGCTGGTGATCAAGGAAATATTTCCCAGACTTTGCTTTATAGATCAGTGTTAGCAACTCCGTGTTAACTTTCCCCAGTACCTTTTGCCCCGTTGAAAAAAAAAGTCAAATCAAATCACATCGCACAAAGAAGTGGAGAGTCTGGAAGTTTACAAACTGCCTAGGTAGGTGGGGAGTGGGGGGGGGTCTTACCTTTCCTGTCCGTTTCTCCGCTGGAAATCGCCCCCAAGTCCTGCAGTTCCCTAGGCGGTCGTGAAGCAGGCCGCCCTGCGTGTGAGCGGGCCCTGCGTGTGTCGGGAGCTGCCCTAGTCAGATTTTCCAACTGCAGCTCTATCGCCAAGTCCCTGCCCAGGCCTGGGGAATTTCCTGATCGGCATTCCTTCTTTTTTCTGCCTGCCTTGAAACTGTACTCGGTCTGCAGTTCAACCCTGCTCTGTCAGGCCAGCGGCTCACAGCTACTGGGCTGTCTCCAGCTAGCAATGAGAAACACGTGTGGTGCGTGAAATCCAGGAAACTCCTTCTAGAACTTTCTGCTCCGAGGTTCCCAGATGGTGGAGATAAAGTCCCCTCCCCACTCATTTTAAAGATGTGCCTTTCACTTGAGTCCCCCCAGCTGATTCCTGTTGAGCCCCCTCTAGATTGCATTTCCAGGCTTGATCAGAAACCGATTCCAGGTGGGAGAAAGGCGTTCTCATTTCCATCTCCCTACCTGCTGCTTTCCGAAGGCTTTGCTCAAAATCTGCACTTGCTGGAGGGGATAAATAGTATTTTTAGCGTCTTCAGACTGCTTTGCTTCTGCAGAGTTGCAACTGGGGAGACTGTGGTCATCTTCTAGGCATTTTGTAGGAGTGATGCAACCTGTGTGTGCAAGATGTCCCTTGCACACCCCCACGTGGTGTCCTTGTTTCTGCACACCTGTGATGCAGGCTAGTTCACAACCCTATGCTCCTTCATGCTGGGTTTGTGTGGGGTCTACCTTTAATGTTTCTTTTTTCCACAAGACAAGTGAAGTCTCAAGACCCAGGGGAAGATAGCTCCCCTCTCCTGAACCTGCCTCTCCCGTCTGAAGAGCCAAAGCTACCTTGTCAAGGTAACATGGCAGAAAAGAGGATAAAGAGTAGCATTCATTTCGAACCTTCTCCTTCTTCTTCTTCCTCCTTCTCCTCTTCCTTCTTTTTAGTAATTGCATTTTTCTTTCCCCAAATCACACCACACCATGTGCAACTCTGAAAGAACTCTGAATGATTTTTGAAGTACTAGGTGTCTCTGAAGAATGGTCTTAAATATCAGGATTCTGTGGGCTCCCAGGCTAAGCGTTAGATTTGTAGTGGATGCTTTTGGAAAACATTAAGATTTTTGCCTTGGGATGTGTTTTGGTTATGTTTGTTTTTGATGGCACTGGGCCTAGAAGTCAGAGTGGTCTGGGTCTCCCACTTGCTTGGGTTGCTTGCCCAGGGCTGGCTCTCTACCATTTGAGCCATGCCTCCAGCCTGGCTGTTTGGCCTACTTCAGTGGAGATAGAGCCTCATGGACTTTTCTGCCTAGACTTGCTTCAAACTGTGATCCTCTGGATCTCAGCCTCCTGAGTAGCTAGGATTAAAGGCATGAACTACAGCTGAGGGGAGGACATCGTGTGTGTGTGTGAGTGTGTGTGTGTATGTGTGTCTATGTTGGAGTACATGCCTTCATGTAAGGCCACGATGTAATTGTGGAAAGAACCCCAGAGACCATGCAAGCCAGGTGATTTCTACCCTCTGTCTCCTCGAGGAGAGGCCGAAGCTGAGAAAGATGAGTGGGTCAATCCACGGGAGCAGTTCAGGGCAGAGCTGGCGTGAGAAAGGGCGGCCTGTGCTCCTGTGCAATGGGACGGCCATTCCTCCACAACCCCGGAAGCCTGGCACCACCCGCCCCTTGGCGGTGGAGGGTCTCAGTGAGGTGGCCCGGTGTAATCTACGCTTGCCCCGTCTCGCTGTAAAATCCCACCACCATCCTTCACATCGGGTCCTCCTTGTCTAGACTGTGAATTTAGAACAAAGTTCAGAACAGTTGAGGATTTAGAGAGATAAGTAGGTAAGTGTCTATGAGTCATTTCAGCGGACCCCCCCCCCCGGCAGTCCTGGGGTGTTTTGAACTGAGGGTCTTACGCCTGCTAAGCAGACACTGTGCTCCTCGGGCCACTCCTCCAGTACCGTTTTTATATTGGTTATTTTCAAGAGAGGGTCTCGATTTATGCCTGGGTTGGCTTGGAACTATGATTCTACCATTTCTAACTTCCAACTAGCTGGGATTGCAGGCTCGTATACCACCATGTCTGGTTTAGAATTGTTTTTTCCTCTTTTATTTTTTATGGAGTAAAACCTAGATCCTTTACCATAATGTAAAATGGTGCTCTCAGAGCTAGTAGGAGTTGGAAAATCTTGAAGCTGTCTGACTGGCTGCTATTCTACTGCTTTACATTTACCAGAAAGAGGCCTTAACCACTTTGAGCACAGAGAAGCTGTCCTAAAGCCTTGCTGGAACATCCTGTGAGCTCACAGCTCCTTCCCTAAACAGAACAGAACTTTCTGGAGAAGAGCTTTCAGAGAGGGATATCATGGGGAGCAAGAGCACAGTCAGTGATGGGGGGGCAGAGAACAGGGTGGAAGGAAATGCCATTCACAGAGACCCCACTTCCGTCCACTCCAAAATTTCTCAGTGATAGCCTTCTAAAAATAAAGCTGATCTTAACAACTGCCAACTCCTCTTCTCCACAACTGCTCCATCCTCAATTAACAACAGCAGCAGCCAAACCAGATCTGCCACCTGTCCCCCCACAGCCCTCCATGGGTGAGGAGGAAGTCTCCACAGGTTCTGAAAGAATGGGATTTCTATCTGGGAGATCAGGGCCTTGGTTTCAGAGCGGGGGGGG